TATATATGTGTATATGTGTGTATGTGTGTGTGTGTGTGTAAACAAATGAAAACAACACCACAACCTCTACTTGTGTCTAAGAGCATCTTTAAAAGTACAGGGATTTATACAAGCTGACTTATTTCATGGCTCTGTTCTCACACGTTATAATTTTCTTTCCATATCATCCTGAGCCGTGTTGCATTAATGAGTTTTCTCGATGTCACAAACGGCCAGACGGCTCGTTTTTATGAGATGGCGGCAATCTGATGCCTTTTGACCGCTTTCAGCATGAGTCATGATGAGACTTGAGATGAGGAGATAATCCCGAGCTGCAACCTTCAGCTCGCTGCTGATGTAACCGCCCAGCACTCTAACTGATTATTATTTTTATTACACATTTTTTTATGCTGATTACAGAATTAACTGAATTATTTGTTCTTGTTGGTTGTCTAAAAACACTGTTATAAAGAAAAACTCCGAAGATAAAAAGCTACAGGTGATTTTGCTGTGATGATCTGCTCACAGTGGAAGAGGCTAACAAATATGAAGCTCACTCCCGCTGAGTTTAAACTCTTGTATATTTAGGGTCAGAGTTGAGACATCAGGAAACCACATTCCTTAATGGAATAAATATTACTCACCACTTTGTAAGCCAAAGTTTTAAATAAAAATATTATAGTAGTCAGAGTATGTGTTGGGGAAAACATTCAGCCACAACCACGCTCAGTTTTAGAGTTATAAGCAGTGTTGTCTACGTGTGGTCAGCTGTGGTGGCCTTTTGTCCTTCAGCGTAAATCTTTTTATTCTGGAAGTGTTTTAAGTTACAGTCAATCATTTCCGTCCCATGTGGATTGTTTGAGTCGTTTAAACAACAGTGGGTATATCATGTATCATTTGTCAGCATATGTGACATGTTGATATGTGCTGCTGATTATCCATGCTGCTGATCGCATGCTGCTGTGTTCATTCGTACTCATCTGCTCACACAGACTCATGTTCGTGCTGCTGTTGTTCGGCGTATTGTTTTGCACTATTAGTGTTTAGCGTAAACTTAGTTCATATCTTAGATCCTTATTACTGTTTTATATTTTTGCTGTTGTTTGATGCAACTGGGACCCTGAGTGCACAATTTTGTTCCACCTCATGTGCCACATGTGATGCGAATGACAATAAAGACCCTTGAACCTTGAATGTTTTATCGTTGAAGTATTAAACGCATCCTGAGCTGTTTGTTGTTGTTTTATTATGTTTATGATTCAATTGTTCGTGTTGTTTGTAATTTACTTCTTCTGTTAGATTTGACTCGGTGAGTCACATCCAACAATATAACATGCCTGGTGTTCACGTTTGTGAGCATTAGATTATTGAAGACGGGAATTACAAATTAAAAGCCTAGAATAGTTTGAAGGAGTTCATACTGTCTGTGGCCAAAATCATCTTTTGATGAGAAATGACAGAGTTGTTGCTGCTTTGGTCAAACCTTGAATGTTATGTGTGATGTCAAAAAGATTGTCATGTAACGCATGTCAGGTACAAATTATGTGTTATGAATGGCTGAATATATGTACAAATTATGTGTTATGAATGGCTGAATATATGTTAAATTATGTGTTAT